CGGCCGCTTCCCAGGAAAGAAAACATCTGGATTTGTTTGTTGTGCTTGGCGGCGCGATGCGGGCAGCGTGCCAGAGGGGCTGGGGGCTGCCCGGCTGCCTCCCCCCTTCCCCGCTTAGTTAATTACCTTAATCAGCTATTACAGCCCTTAATTGGCATATTTCCGGCTGCGGGCTGCATAGGGTTCCAAGTCTGTGAGAGCGTGCAGGTGAGATTTGGGCACTGCAGCAGGAGCAGATGCCCTGTCTTCTTCTTCTCCTTCTTCTTCTTCTTCTTCTTCTTCTTCTTTCTTCTTCTTCTCCTCCTCCTCCTTCTTCTTCTTCTCCTCCTCCTCCTTCTTCTTCTTCTTCTTCTCCTTCTCCTCCTCCTCCTCCTCCTTCTTCTTCTTCTCCTTCTTCTTTCTTCTTCTTCTTCTTCTTCTTCTTTCTTCTTCTTCTTCTCCTCCTCCTCCTTCTCCTTCTTCTTCTTCTTCTTTCTTCTTCTTCTCCTCCTTCTTCTTCCCTGCACCGCCGGCCACGCTCTCACTGACATCCTCCTCCTCCTCCTCTCCCTCCTCCCCCCATGCCAAGCCCACGCAGAGCTCATATAAAGCCCACCAACTACGATCCACCGCTTAATAAATGACTTTAATTGGAGGGACCCCCTCGCCCATCCCTGCCAGCTCTAACGAGCAGCCCTGGGGTGGTCCAGGGCTGCCTGAGCCCCCGGGGCTGAGCTCCCACCTCCCCCTCCCTCGCCTTGAGCGTGGGAACGGTCCCCCCATGCTCTTCCAATGTGGGAAAAATGGAGCTGCCCCAGGAAAAGTGACCCCAGCCGGGCTTCCCAGAGCATCCCCACGGCAGCTGGCCAGGCTCGAGGCGTGCCAAGGCCTCGCGTTTCCAGCCCAAGAGCCCACCTGAGACGTTGCGATGTTTTGTTATTTTTTTTTCTGGTCCCTCTTTCGAGGGACGGCTTCAAAAATGTCAGCTGGAAGCAGCCACGGAAACGCACTCACGCGATGGGGAATCAGAGCCTGCCTGTGGTACCTCGTGCTAGACCCTGACACGGGATGGGTGCAGGGACGGTCAGCCCAGGGCAAGGTGCTGACGTCCCAGAAGGCATCCCTAGGGACACGCCAGGGCTTGGGAGCTGCTCCTGCTGGGAAAGCCCCAGCTGCTGGAGAAGGAAGAGCCTTTGCTGGCCTTGAACCAGCAGAAAGAAGTCCATCAGCATCCTCGGGACGGGCACGGAAAGGCCGGCTGCTTTCAGGGAGCCGGGTTCAGCAGAGCGGGGCTCCGGTAAGGATGCCCCGTGGCTGCAGCTTCGGGGCTGTCTGGGGGGTCCCCAGGCCACCAACTGGCACCGCTGGTGGCCATAGAGCAGGGCAGGTCACCAACCAGCATGGCTTGTGGCGGGGGCCGTGCCCAGACCCAGACCAGTGCAAGGATGTCCGGGAGATGCCTTGGGCACCAGGATGCAGGACCATGCTTGGAGCATCCTTCCCTCTGCCACCTGGCTCACCCCAAAGGGCTGCAGCAACCCCAGCTCTCACCCCCCAAGCGAGGGGTCCCTGCCCTCACCCCACAGAACCAAAGCGAGCCTGGAAATCGCAGTTCGTTAACTTTACTGAGCTCGGCGGTCTCACCAGGGCAGGCTCTGCCCTTTCCAGTCCCAGAAGGTGCCGTTGCTGGTGGCTGAGAGCCGGGCCAGCAGCCGCAGGACGGCTCATCTCCAACCTCACCCGCCTGCCCTTGGTCGGGGGAGGGGAGTCTGGGGTGACCGCGGCTCTGGGGTGCTGGGGCGTGCAGGCTCCCAGCGTGGGGCCGGGGTGCCCTCTGCTGACACGCCGTCGGGGTGGGAGACGGGATGGAAACCGCGAGGAAACCGGGTGATCTGGGGAGAGGCTGGAACTGGGGCTTTGCTGCCATCGCACAGCTCCCCTGGGCCCGAGGGGCTGCTCCCGGGAATGGGTGCCATCGGAAGGGATAGCCCTGGGAAGGGATGTCCTGGGAAGGGATATCCATGGGAAGGGATGTCCTGGGAAGGGATGTCCATGGGAAGGGATGTCCTGGGAAGGGATATCCATGGGAAGGGATGTCCTGGGAAGGGATGGCCCTGGGAAGGGATGTCCTGGGAAGGGATATCCATGGGAAGGGATGTCCTGGGAAGGGATGTCCATGGGAAGGGATGTCCTGGGAAGGGATATCCATGGGAAGGGATATCCATGGGAAGGGATGCTGTCAGAAGGGATAGCCATGGGAATGGGTACTGTCAGAAGGGATAGTCATGGAAAGGGATGCCTGTCGGAAGGGATATCCACGGGAAGGTCTATCCATGGGAAGGGTTGCCCATCAGAAGGGATATCCATGGGAAGGGATGTCCTGGGAAGGGGATAGCCATGGGAAGGGATGCCCTGCGAAGGGATATCTGTGGGAAGGGGTGCCCGTCAGAAGGGATAGCCATGGGACGGGGTGCCCGGGGAAGGGGAGTCCTTGGGAAGGGAGGCCCCAAGGGACTTTGGAAATCAGGGTGGCCGTGCACCTCCTGTCACTCACCATCCCCTGTCCCAAGGGAGGTGTCACACAGCCGGGGTCCACAGAGACGCAGAGGATCCCGCTGCCCCCGTACTCCAGGGCCAGGCACTTGGTGAGCATGTTCAGAGCAGCCTGGGGGGACAACGACCACCACAACCACCACCATCATGGGGTGGCATTGCCGCAGGTGGGGGACTCCCACAGGAGGTGACCCCCTCCCAATTCCTCCCAGGTCTCTGGGTGGCGGTACCTTGCTGCAGCGGTAGCAGATGTCCTGCCTCTCCTCCCAGGCCTCTGCCGCCTCGATGGAGCCCAGGATGCTGGAGATGTTGACGATGGCGGCTCTGCTGCAGCTCATCTCACACTGCCCTTTGGCCTTGGCCGCCTCCTTCAGCAGGGGCAGGAACGCCTGTGGGGACCGGATGCCTGAGCATCACCATCCTCTTCCTCCCCACTCCCAGCATGTGGAGGTGCCTGGGGCCTCACCTGGCTGGTCTGCAGGGGCCCGATGGTGTTGGTGGTGTAGACCAGGGTCATGTTCTCCGCTGTCTCGGTGGCCACTGTGCTGCGGCGCGTGGTGCAGGCGTTGTTGATCAGGAGGTTGAGGCCGGCGCTTCCCACTTTCTCCCGCACCTTCCCAACTGCTGCCTTGATGCTGTTGGGGTCTGTCACATCTGCAAGGGGACGGGAGGGCTTGGGGACGGGCTGGTGGCCCTGCCCCAGGCAAGATACTGTAGGACGTGGTGGGAGGCAGCCCCCGGCCACCAAGCATCCTCCTGGTCCCAGCAGTGACCTGGCTGGGCAGAGCCAACCCGAGGGACTCGCCTGCTCGGGTGGCATTTCCGGGAGCCACCCACGGGTGCCATTAAATCCCCAG